GCTCCGCTATCAATTAAAAAATTTAGTTTGTTTGTTTTATCAAATATAAAAAGGCGACGTGTGGAAATGTCCAAATTCCCGTTGTTTGTCGCCGCAACAACGGACGACTTTAGTTTGTTGGACTATTATTTTTCGAAAATGCACATGGTTGTTCACATTTTTTAGCCTTGTTTCCAAATTTATAATGATATCTACATAACCAATTCGGATTGTCGCGTGATTTTGATCGATATCTAAAAGGGCTCCTAAAACGATTCCTATTCACTGAACGTGACCTTGAATAATTTTGATTCATTTCCCTCCTCATTTCACATAATTCCAAAGAAAGTTTTTCAAAATTTTTAAAAATAAGAGAAGTAGTGTTAACCAAATTAGCCATGACTGCATTTTCACCTTTTGAATTTTGAAAATCATTAACTGAAGCTATCTCGCTTTTGCTAATAATCTCCCAAACATTATCAGCCAATTTCGTCAATTCACTAATACTGCTTGAATTATAACTAGCTAAAATCACGCTTAGATTCTTCGGTAACTTCCTCATCCAAAGTTTCTTAAGAATTTCTTGACTAAAATTGGAACCAGAAAGCAGTACAAGCGACCGATAAAATTCCGAGGGCTTACGATCACCCATTTCAGTATCCGATAAAATTTTGTCTAATTTCGCATTCTCACTTAATGAATGCCTTTCAATTAAAATTTTCTTAAGTGAGGTAAATTTATTATTTTCGGGCGGATTTTGAATAAAGTCTAAAATCGTTATTATAACTTCTTGCGGAAGTGCAGTAATTGTATGTTCATACTTTGTTGTTTCTTGTGTAATATTTTTGGTACTAAACTGCATTTCCGCATGAACAAACCATGCTTCAGGGCAACTCGCCCAAAATTGCGGCATCTTAACCGAAGTTGCACAAGNTTTCTTCTGTAATATTTTTGGTACTAAACTGCATTTCCGCATGAATAAACCATGCTTCAGGGCAACTCGCCCAAAATTGCGGCAACTTAACCGAAGTTGCACAAATTTCTTGACTAGTCCGACCACTGTAAGGATTTTCTAATTCCTCTTGAAAAGTGTTATCTTGTAAATTAATGAGCGAGTCGTTTAAATTACTTGTACGTGTAGTTGTGTGCGCGCCATGTTGTGGTGAGTGACACATAGTGCACACAATTTTAACGTTATAAAAATTTCTAGAAGGGGTGTTCACAGTTTAGTTGACAAACAAAACTTTAATAATAATGTATAAGTTAATGTATATACACATGTATACTTAAATATAATGTAGCTAGCACGCGTCGTAATTAATTGTATTTTCTCGCTACAGTTCAACAGTGCGTGACAAATCTGTCCAATTCACAACTTATGATTATCTTCGGAATTTGCTGACAATAATTCACTCTTATATTATTGATTGAATAAGCTCACCATTATTGAACGTTGGAGATGATACTTGACTGTGGCTGTATCTGCAACCGTGACTGTATCCGCAACTGTGACTTTACCTGCGACTGTGACTGTATCTGCGACTGTGACTATATCTTCGACGGTAACTTTGATTACGACAACGACCTCGACGAAGTTAAAAACTGCGACAGATATATTTGCTAATGTGTAGAGAAAAGCTGCCCTTATTATTTATTTGCTGATTCAACCAATGTTGACATGTTTAATCAATAGTTTTAATTTTTTAACTTCTGTTGCTTCAATCGATGTTGCTGTTAGTTATATTGAATTTCGCAGCAATATCCGAAATTGTATGTATGTCCTCGTTGCCAATTAGTCAGATGCAAATTTACAGACCGGCAGGATCGCCAATTGTGGTGTGGTTAAAAACGTTAATTTTATGTATTTCAATTATCTCTTTAACAAAATAATATACATGCTTTCAGCAAGAAGAAAAATTCTGAAGTAATCAAAAATTTTCTTTTTGATTTACATAAATTGAAAAAGAACTTAATTCAATAATTTCAAAAATAACAAAGTACAAAAATGAACAAAGTACAATAGTAAATAGTATTAACACTACAAGGAGAAATGTCAAATGTAAAAGTAAACAAAAATGGACGCTAGCAAGGAAAAGAGGCTTGTAAAAGTATTTTTAATAAAATGTTGAGTTAAAATATATTTATATTGCTTAATATAGCAGAAAAACGTGAACACGGTGGCACAGAGAAGAAACATAACTTTTCCTTGAGATATGAGAATAACAAGCACAACAAATTTGACGGCTAATAATCTGAGATTTGCCTGTGTAAACTGGGTGATTAAAAAATGAGCGTTGATTGAGATAATATTGATATGTAAACATACTTTAATATAGATTTAGAGAAAACTGTTGATGCTGATGTGAAAAATATACCACCTGGGAAGGTTTCGATCGGCAGCGATTATTATCTCCTTTGGTACCATTTGCACTGTGTCGGCTTAAAACAACTCCCCAAACAAACAATTAATACAACAAATTTTTGTTTTATTATTCCTGTTTTCAATTTCTGTTGTGTAGCTGGTTCGCTTCTATATATCTGTGTTTGTATGGAATAGTAGCTTATGTCGAGAAGCTGGCTTTTGTATAATGCGGCATTCCCTTTATTCTTTAAACGACAAGGAATTTTGTGACGAGACTTAATAAGAATATTGACCTGCTATTTAGTATCGGAACTATTTCTTGCACGTTCATTTGTTAAAAGTTCTTCAACAGCTCGACGCCAGTGAGTCATTCGCAATCGTATGCTGCGAATGCCACATTATACTAAAGCCAGTCTTTCGACATAAGCTACTATTCCATATGAACACAGATATGTAAGTTTAAAATCATCCTTTTTCCTCTCAAACCTGAAATGAATAGTATAGTTACAATACTGTGTACGCAAAGTATAATTTTAAAATTATACATGACAAAATACTTACAAAATACAAATTTTGATTTCGACCCTTATCACAAACTCACTTTTCCAACTATCTTAAAAAAATTTTGCGAGTTACATTCAATTTTTTTTGGGTCCGAGTCCCGTTTCTGACCAACATCAAAAAAAACAAACACTATTATACAAAAGTAAATTGGACCAAGGACCTCATTTCTGGTTCCAAATAAAAAGCCGAAATCAGGCTCAATCTAAAAAAAGAATTTATTTTAATGAAAGAAAATAAATAAGAATGAGCTTTAGTCCCACCAAACGAAAACTATCATGCAATTTGTATTGCGGTCAAACATCAAATATTTGTTTTGGATTATTTATTCTCGGTGTACCGAATGCTGCTCATACCTGTTGCAGCGCACGCGCACCAGTGCTTGCTTTTTTCTGCTAAGGCATTACATGGAGATCATGTGTCAATGCTTTATATGCAACAATAAAACAACAACAATAAAAAGCAACAAAACAAAAGAAAAAACCTAAACCTAAAATTCACTCAGTCATCTTTGCCAGCTAGCAATCACAGGTAGCAATGTTTACGATTCATCGATAGCTCCACAAATGAGAATAAAAATCAAATAAAAAATTAAGGCACTCCGCACATTACGCGCTTAATAATAGTAGAGTAATCGTTTCATTATGCCGAAACGAATGCATGGCGTCTCAACTTCTGCACACTTGCGCGCCCTGCATAGTCACCAGCTAATGAACACATTCTACACATAGCACATTTTCTGGCCGTTATTTCTCAATTTCACACTTCCGTGGTTTAATACAATTTGCACGAATTTTAGCACGAAAAAATTTATTTTTAATTATTTCCTATTGAAGTAACAAATAGCTTTTATATCCAATACAAAAAAGTAAATAAATGACGATTTCAAAACGGCAACCGCCTTACAATGTTGGGCGCTTCGATTCATGAAGCTTTTGCGATTAGGCGAAAACATGATTATGAATCGTAATCTCCAAAGCTTCATTGAAATACATAAAAGCTTCACACATTAGTATGCCGAAACGATTGCACTACTATGATTAGGCGCTTATTTTGCGGAGTGCCATGTATTTGATTTTTTATTGTTTTTTTTATCCAGCGAATTTGTTTATAAAACGTTTAAGTTTATATTATATGTCTCACAGCAGCCAACAGGTAATTTCGCAATGACATTTTTATTTTACGAATTTTAAAAACATGTTTCTGCATTAGTACAATGTATGAAAATATTTAATAAATAAAACGAATGCAGAATTGTAGATTTCGATAATTTTTAAAACCACACGTAAATATTAAGAATGCCTTCGTACAATATACAAAAAAAGAGATTTTTTCGGTAATTTGCGCACGTGTTTTGTAAAATAAATGAAAGTTTTCATAAATTGTACTGAAAAAATGCTTTACGAAACTCGTTTCGTTATATTTACGAATGGTTCGTAAAATCTTGTTTCGTTGTGAAAAATGTGTTCGTATTATGAACGAAAGTTTCGTACGTTGTACAAAAACCAAAACTAAGAAAGTTTTTCGTAGCATTTTTACGAAATTTCGTTTTCAGTGTACAATTAGTATTTGAAAACCACAAATTAAAATTTGTGCGGGTAATTTGCCGCGGCGCGCCCTCCGAAGGTTTAAAACTTTATACAAAAACGAAAAAAATGTATCTCAAAACAAGGCAACGGATAATAAATATTTTGGGTTTCTGAAAAAACTGTTGTTAGAGTCTCCTTCACAAATCTCTTTTAGATGTAAAACCGACAGAATGACAAATAAAACTTTTCGATGCACATATAAAATGTAATGTGTCACAATTATGGGTTTTTTCATATTTTCAACGATATCTCAGAAACTAGGTCTGACCCAGAAAAATAACTATCATATTCGGAATCAGGATAAAATTCTACGTTAGGAAAGTTTAATTTCATTCTTGGTGAATTTTTGTTTGACGAGTAGTGTAATTTGTAAACTCTTGCATGTATGTTATGTACATACATATATTGACGTCGTAAAAGTATAGCCACATTTGCAGCTGTTTTTCTATAAATATTTAAAATTTTAATTCGTAACTTTTTAATTCAAATTTTTATCAAGACAACATGAAAATGTATATTACTAAATGCTTTCTAATAAGAATGTACAAAGTAATTTTAAAAGGAAACACGATTATTAAAGTCATTTAAATACAAATGTTCCAGACACCGTTATCGCCGCTGGAATTGCTGTAGTAAAACTCAGTATTTAGATTAGTATCAAACGTTGAACATTGGTATGGTAACTGGGCGTTTTCTGGGGTTTTTTCATAAGCGCTTGTAGATACATAATCTTCGATCGATTGTAGATCGCTGCTAACATTAGGCAGTTGACTTTCTTGCATTGAAACTGGTTCAAACACAGAGTTAAATATTTCTGAAGTTTGCGCAGCGAAGTATGCCACCGACCTAGCTAGCTCATGGCGTTGATTGTTAGCGATTATAAGAGAGCTGGAGGACGTGGAGCATGGTATAAATGAAGGAACAAATTCATCTGAATTATACCCGGAGCTTGACGTTATTCTTGATGTGTCATCATAAGCTTCATTAAATCGATGAGTATCATGAAGGACTGGGGTATCATATCTTGTTTCACATGCGGAGTTTATGTGCATTGATTTAGCTAAGACAGACCGATGTTGTAGTTGATGAAGCTGCATAGACGAAGTGTAATAAGGGGAATTCGAGGATGTTCTAATCGATGTTGGCTGACGATTTTCAATCATAGCATATGCGTTTTCACCTCTGTGAAAATCTGATGTGCCCATTTGATTTATATGCGAATTACTCGTTAACATGGTATCAAAACACAAATTGGGTGACGTAAAAGATGAAGTAGAAGATGGCAAAATCTTAAGAGGCTCTGTAACGTCCTGCTTTTGCGCCAACGGTGTAATATTTTGACATCTTTCATAAAAACTACAATAATTAGCTGTGGATTTATTGACAGAATTCAAATCCCGGGCAGTATTTATCACGCATGTTGTTCTACTCTGTAGATTGTGTTCCAAATTGCGTGCGACTTTCCCAGGTGTAAGGACCACGGAAACATTACGGTTTCGCCGACTATTACCGAAAAGCCGTCGAGTCTCTGTTGAACCCTTTACTTCAGGTCTTGGATGATCATGCGATCCTTTTGCTTGAAAGAAGATTACATTGTTAGCATGGCGCCAAAAATGAGTTACCGGATAACCACAGTGCCCCTTACAAGTTTGAATTTCTAAGCGACCTGAACAATTTCTGAAAGAAGAAGAAAAAATAAGATCTTTACACAATTGTATGTATACGTATATCTACATATAATCCTGCAGGGAATTCAATTAACAATAAATGCCCTATAAGTTCCCTATTTCTCAATGCCTCGACTAGCCTGCCTTGCTTATACATGACTACTTTTACATGGTGATGTCGCGAAATAGTGAGTGTGTTTTCAGCTAACTACAAACTGGTTATTTATAAATTGGCGTGTATTGTGCTGGTTAATATAATAGGGCTATTCGCGATCCGGTGCAAATGGCCTAGCATCATTGCATTGCAAATTTGTATTGCAAATTATTTGCAATACACAAACAAAATACACGCATTTGCATTTGTCATGGCTTGGCAAATTTGCAATACCGAAAATCCATAGCATAAAAATGCTATGCATTGCATTCATAAAGAAAACCAAAGCTGATGCACAAAAATTGTTTTGTTCTGCAATTGCATAAATTTGTCAGCTCTTATGCACCGAATCGCGAATAGCCCTAATGTTTTTGCTACTTTCGATTTGTACTCTTATATCAGAAAAACTATTACCTAACTGACTTTCAATTAGCATATAGTGAGACCCCTAAAGGTGTGATATTTATGTACGCGCTTTCATAGGTACATATATGTATATGAACAGATATATTATTGTAAATAGCATAGCTGTCAACTGCCTTGCCCTCTAAAACAGAGTCAGAACACATGTTTATAACCAGGGTTCGGAAATTCTTATTTATCGAAAATATTCCAAATTTAATTCAGCGTTCTTTTACCGCGAATGAAAAATGCAAACAAACTTGTCACGGCTCATATTCGGAATGAGATCAACAAACAATTTTCCACTGTATTTTATTCGCGAACGTAAAAAGCAAAGAAATTTCTTCTCACTCAAATATGAGAAGTCTGAACATTGCCGATGTCGGCCGCTCATGAATAGAAAAAAACGATGCAAGATAAACTGTCACGAAAATTTTCAACAATGTTGTATGGGAGATGTTTTCCGCGTTTGGTTTGGCTATGCATTTTGTTATGCATACATAATGTGACCAATCGTACTTCTTTCGGAAGTACAGTACTTCTTTTTCAGCTCTTGTATTTCGCACTTCGAACTACAGTCAAATGTACTTCTTTGCGATATTTTGTACTTCAGGCCCTGTACTTCTCCGATCTTCTGGACGATCGTCACATGGCCTGGGCTATAAATTCATTCAAACTATTAAATTCGCCGAGGACTGATGGCATCCTACCTGCGCAGTTACAAAGGGCTCTGAAGAAGTCGTACAATTAGTTGTATTATATTTATGCGAACTGCGTTAGGACCGGGTACATCCCCAAGGCTTGGGTAGTCAGTGTTGCGTTCATCCCACTAGAGGTAATAGTCAAGTCAACCTAATCAGGCTTATCTACAGCTTTCTTCGTCACAGAACTGTCGCGGGAGAGTGGAGGAGCGCCTCCACTCAGAGCAGAGTCAGTGGGGCATTCCGCAAGGTGGTGTTCTCTCTCACCTCCTCTGGATTGCGGCTGTAAGCGACCTTCTAGAGGAACTGGAAAAAGTGGGCTTGCGGGTGATCGCCTACGTAGATCATGGGGAACTTTTGGTTAAGGGCCGATTTCTATACACCCATTTTAATCTGGCTCAAGGTTACCTGTACCAGGTAACTAGGTGGGCGATCAACGGAAGCCTCGCAGTAAATCCCATCAAGATGGAACTGGTGGTGCTTACCAGGAAGTACAAGAGGTGAGCTTCTTCACTGACGGATCCCCACTTGGGGACAGGGTTGGTGGAGGTGTTTTTTGTCAGAAACCACCAAAAATCTGTTCAGACTTCCGGAATTCTGCAGTGCCTTTCTCGTGGAAATAGCTGCCATCAAGAAAGCGGTAGACTCACCGCTAAAGGGTGAAATCGGTAAAGGAATGTCTGACTTCTATAGATCGCGTCATAGTACTTCTAAGGTACTTCTTCCTTTTTAGGTGCCGGGTCGCAGTGAGATCGCGGGAAACTGTGTCGCTGATGTTCTGGCTTTGGAAAGGCAGTTACTTCGTACTCGCGATAATGAAATTGCATACTCTACTAAATACCTAACAAAAAGGAAAATAGAAAGTGATGCTTCTTTTGTGATATAAAAAAGAAATATAAGACGTTTCTCTGCTGCAGCAGATGTTTTAATAGGGTACTTTAAAATACTTTTTGCAGCGCAAGACACGAGTGACCCATCATTACCCCTTAAAGGTGCCGAATACCACGTTACCTCTCAAGGGCTAGTGATGGGGATTCGTACAGTCCATTGTGCGATTGGTATTCAAGCGGTAAGACCAGGAATTTCAACTGATCCCTTTTGTATCAGCTGTCAAGAGGAAGATGAAGTAGAATCATCTCCACACTTTTTTTAGACTGTCCAACCTTTGCGAGGCTAACACGGAAGCATTTTTGCTCGCACTTCTGAACTAACACTGAGCTCTCAGGGATCGAAATTAGCCGCATTCGAAACTTGGTAATCGGCTCACGGCGTTAAACTAATCCAACCTAACCTGTACTTATTTTAGCTATGAAATAGTTGGTAACATTATCCATATAGCATACATATCTACATATGTATATGTAATAAAAGAAAATGCTTTTCGGGAAAATGCACAAATATATGAACGCAACCCTTTGAAGTGTAACAAAGAAGGAAACAAATCCTTTAATCTAAATATGTAAATGTAACAACTTTAATTAAAAAAATTCTAAGCAACTCAAATTAATGAAATTTACCGCAATAAAATTCTGAAAACAACGTTTCCGGACTTATCGTTTTGGGCGTATATATGGGCAAATCTCCGGAATCGTGCGATTCAACGCTAAAAAACCTAAATTTTCAAATTGAACGCACACAAATAAATTAGACATCAAATTGTTTGAAATCCACTGAGAAAACAATTAACTCTTGTGTGATACATTTTTCTAAAATGCTTAAAGAGTTATATTTAAAAAACGATAATTTTCGAAAACTCAATGTTAGCGATACTGCTAGAGGGCGTGGTTTTTTGCCGATTTAAAAAATATTCAAAGCAGTATTTAAGAAGGTCATGGGTAATGTGTATGTCCAATTTGGTACAGAATGGTGAAAAGGTTTTCGAGATACAAACATTTGACATAAGTGGGCGGGCCACGCCCAATTTAAAAAAAAATTACGAAATCCTGAAATATCTGAAAATCCTTACATACACACATATACATTTATGACCGTACTTTAGACAAAAGTTATTTTAGGTATTTAGCATTTTCAACGACCTTTATGAAGAATGTTATCTAACGATCACGCTTAATGCCAACCTGTTATGGTTTCGTCTGTCAATGTGCGATAAAAAAGAGGGAAATCTTGAAGCCACTCACGCAAAGACTTGTTCAGACAATATTTGTTATAATTTCAGTATTTTCAAAGGCATGCAGCTGTAAAAGGTCTTATTTTTATCTTTAAAGTGTAATTAATATGTATATAAACAAATACGAACAATTTAGTAATTGCTAAAAGTTCAAAATGGAAGAAAACTTGAAATATTAAATTTTTGATAATTACGAGTGACAGATTTCAAATTGTTACAATGAGGAGCACATATTTTTTTCAACGCCTAATGCATTTTCCAATATTACATTCAATATTTGTCATGATTTTTGAAAGTCTCCGTTTGAAAAAGTTATACGCAAAAAAGTACAAAACGTACCCAAAGTGACACGCAAAATGGTTATTTTCATTACTTTGATTGCTTATAAAAATTAAAAAGACATTGTTACAATAAAAAAAATTAAATAAGTTACAAGAACGCGTCACATTTGTTCACCCATTTTTTTATATAAGGTCAAATTTAAATAAATAAAACTATTTGTTTTTGTTATTTTATGGACTTATAACAATTATATTCAACAAATTTTATTGAACTTGACGCCGTGTTTAATAAAAAACTTATTGTGGAAAAGCAACAATAATTTGAAAAAATGGTATAAGTGATAGCTATTTCGGAAATCACCACATTTCCTCATCAGACTTCTTCAGTAGGATTCGAACCGACGATCCCACTAACTCAGCTAGTTGCCTACGCAATATGCCAAGTTCGCCTTGTGAATTCTTGTTGCTTTTTTCCACTATTTCATTTGTTAAGCCAAATACAATCAAGCGCAGCGATTCCAGTGCTATTTAAACTTGATCGTATGGTTGTTGGTTTTGTTGATTTTTGTTAATAATCTTATTATTAGATTGTTTAACTTTTAGGTGTGCTCGTCCTTAAGTTATTTGTTTTTGTTATTTTATGGCCTTATAACAATTATATTCAACAATTTTTATTGAGCTCGAGGCCGTTTTTAATGAAAAACTTATTGTGGAAAAGCAACAATAATTTGAAAAAATGGTAGAAGTGATAGCTATTTCGGAAATCACCACATTTCCTCATCAGACTTCTTTCAGTAGGATTCGAACCGACGATCCCACTGACTCAGCCAGTTGCCTACGCACTGTGCTAAGTCCGACTTGTAAATTATCGTTGCTTTTTTCCCACTTTTTCATTTTGCTAAGCCAACACAATCAAGCGCAGCTATTCCGCTACGATTTACACTTGATCATGTGGTTGTTGGTTTTTGTTAATAATTCTATTTTTAGAATGTTTAACTTTTAGGTGTGCTCGTCCTTAAGTTATTTGTTTTTGTTATTTTATGGCCTTATAACAATTATATTCAACAATTTTTACTGAACTTAACGCCGTGTTTAATAAGAAACAAATGAAATAGTGCAAAAAAGCAACAAGAATTCACAAGGCGAACTTAGCACAGTGCGTGTGAAACTGGCTGAGTCAGTGGGATCGTCGGTTCGAATCCTACTGAAAGAAGTCTGATGAGGAAATGTGGTGATTTCCGAAATAGCTATCACTTCTACCATTTTTTAAAATTATTGTTGCTTTTCCACAATACGATTTTCATTAAAATCGGCCTCAAGCTCAATAAAAATTGTTGAATATATATAAAATTTATTTAGAGGTTAGGGACACAAAAGATTTGCCCGTATAGAGATTTATGGCTTTCGACAAACGCGAGCAGTTAAAGTAGAGCTGTCTGTGCGAGATACGTGGAGTACACAGATGTATTCCTGAAACTTGTAAGAGTTTGTCCTTGACTTTTATCAACCGTTATCGCAAAGGCTACTTTTATCGGAAACTGCAAATATTATATATCTAAACTGAGATAGTATGTTGGGAATTATGGGAATTTGTGGTATCAACACTGATTGCCCTTTGGCCCCGCCATCGATAATGGTGGCTTGCACAATTGTCTTTTCAGTTCCGTTATGAATATTCTTGTGCCATAGCACAAGCAAAGTGCGTCAAGCTTACGCATCAATATGACTGGCACCCCAACCTTTAATTCCAGTTTGTGGGACGGCACCCCTGACAAGTCTAAAGAGTTTAGAAACTCTATAGATATGTTGTTGCATCCTTATTTTTCATCTCTATTTCAGCAGTCATGTATGTTGCGCCTCACCAGGGACTTTATCAATCATTTTCTTATTGATGTTTCCCATTGATTAATTTTTAACCGCCAAGATTTGTCGTTCGCGTAACCAGCCAGGTTGCGCAAGTTTTGTTGTATATTAGGAAAAACCTTACTAATTAGTTCATCTACCTCGCCGATCTCAAGGAAGTCTTGATCAAAGAGTTCGGACACTCGATCATTGTACTGCTGGACTCTCATGATAGTTGTGAGGTTCAATATTTCCATCTTTACCCACAATGGCGAAGCCTTGATACACGCACTTATCTCGCCAATGCCTCGCTCGATGACAGGTAGCGTCTGCCGAAAATCTTCTGCGAGCAATATGACCACTCCATCCATCAGCATTCGGCTGCCCCGGATATCTTGCAAGCTTAGATCGAGTGCCTCGACTGCATGCTTGCGTGACATCGTACATTCGTCCCAAATTATTAATTTGCATTGTTGCAACATAGCCCCTCGAACACGGGTTTTTCTGATGAAGCAAGTTGGTTTATCTTGACTCGCACATTCTTGCTAGGCTGACCAATGTGGCTGATATTCCTGAGGAGGCAACAGCAAGTGCAACATTTTTATCCTTGCACAACTGCGCCAGTAGCAAATTCAGCAGACATGTCTTGCCAGTTCACCCTGGTGCGTCCATGGCCGCCTTCTTCGCCCTCTGCGGCTCACAATTTCAAGGCGATGTCTTAAAAAAACGGTTTTATAATTTTCCCACAGTTACAAGGGTTTAAAAGTCCACAGGTGCTCAACATGATGGCGAAGAGCTCTTTTAATTTCGACGGTGATCGGTACAGTATGGCTTTTTCAATGGTTTCGTCCAAATGGCCAGCACCCTCTAAAATCCCCATAGTTTCTCCCGCTTGCCGGAACGTAACTTTCTCTACTTCGTCACCTGTTTCATTTTTTATTTGTTTAAGTCTATGGTTTTACAGAACCTTACAGACAGCGACTGGAGAACACATCAATATCTCTACTTCCTTTCATAAAAACATTGAGTTCACCAAGCATCCTAGAAATAGGCTCATTTTGCGAATAAAATTCTATTGAGAAAATATCAAAATACCTTAAAGATCGAACAGGAATATTCAGTTTTCTGGCTTGTAGTAATAAAGGACAGTCAATACTTCCATTAAGAATTTCATGTACAAAAATGAGCCCAGAAATAGTCCGTCTTCCATCAAGAGTATGCATATCAACCAACAAATTTTAGAAAACTCTTTTGTATACGCTCTATTCTTTTTGAGTGCATATTAAAATAAGGATTCCAAATGACAGACGCATACTCCAGTTTCGATATCACGAAAGCATTGTAAAAAATGCGTGTGTAACACCGTACACATGCAAGGATGATAGAATACAAGATTGCGCTTTCCTGCGGGTGATGACATCAAGATAGCAACAAATAGGAAAGAGTAATTGGAGATGGAGGAGAGAAAGAGTGTTAACTGACAAACCATGGAGGTCGCCATATTTACATTCATATAAACATCTCTGCATACATACAAACAGTTTGCTAAAATGACGTCACACGAACAACTGATTCTGTCAAATTCGCCAAGAACAAAGTAGTGGTACTGCTGATTGCGCCACCTCTGTCTCCCTACATCGCTGTCCATAAGTACATACATATGCCCATCAGTACATCAACGAAGCCCGTTTGCTTCATCATAAATATATCCATACAGAACATACATATGTACGGATGGAGGTAGTTACGCGAAGCACGCTTGCATCATTTATACATATATTGCTTGGTAGCGGCAGAGCGGCCACTGCACCGACTCCTAAGTAAGTAGCTACTCTATTGACCCGTGGTAGTGCACATGGTAGTGTAGAGTCGAACCAGTCGTAAGCAGAATAGCGAAAAACTACGACAGAGGGCGCCCATAAACCACGCAAGTGACTACTTTAGTAACTCCCGGTAGTGCAGAGAGAGCCGATGGTGACTACCGCCTGGGACATTGCCTTGTAAAAGTAATCGATGAAATACACTGCATGTAGTCGGTCGGTAATTGACGGAGTTTATAGCTACCGATACATCAGTCCTGTAGTCGCTCCCCCGTACTGCAGGGGCGCAATGAGTTCGTTCATACATACATATATATGTACACGTATATATATGTATACATACATACGTGCATTCAAATATATATATATACATATGTAGGTACTCGTACCCGTCATGCGTCCCTTTATTTCTTTTTCCCCTTCCCTATACTACCTGTATCTTCCTTCTCACTCAGGTAACGTTTTCAGTTTTAAAAATTTCACTCTCCGCATATAAGAGGTGATTACATTGTTTGAAAGAAGCACTGGCATCATTAATAAAAATTAAGAAAATTAACGGACCTAATATGGTGCCTATGGGGCCCGAAGTAGCAACATATGAATGAGACTTTACACTATCCATTGATACAAAGTTGACTCTGTTGACTAGATAAGATTTGAGCCAATCCAGAAACTTGGAGTGAAAGCCGAATGAGCGTAACTTACACAATAATAACCTATGACAAAATCTATCAAATGCTTTCGATATATCGGTAAATTTAGTAATCTGGCATCGATCGACAAAAGAAGAGATGCAGTAATTTGAGAATACTGCTAGGTTCAGGGATAAAAGCATGTCGGGAAATAGATATAAACGCCTTCGTTGCAAAGATCATTTTAGTACTAACAGCTTCCTCCTCAGCGTTGGTCGTCTTGCCGTGGCGAGGGGGCTTAAATGGCATGGTATTTTGCACAGTGTGAAGAGTATCATGCCTCTATGAACTAAGAGGGAAGCCTAGTATTGCAGCCTTCGGTAGTACTCCTCAACAAGCCAAGCCGGAGTGTTGGTGTACTGGCGGGGCGCCAATGTCAGGAGAACCGTACCAACACTACCCAAGCCAAGGTTTGCAGGCAGCCGTGTCGACGGATGCATGGCCAGCGGGTAGAAAAAATGTCTGGTCGCGTACGGTCTCCTCCGATGCCCGGGCAAGGTCGGTTGTAAAATTGCCTTCTCCATGCATCCCGGCTCTGCGGACAAGACTTGAACCCTTTTCGGACTACTCGTGGGACCATACATGGATGAAAAACAACAAAACTTAAAACTACAACAACAGCGATGAGGTAAGCATGTCGGTTGAGGAACAGCTCCTCAAATCCCCAGGTAAGGCGGTTGCAAGTACATCTGGAGGTGCCAGCCATAGTACCCCAGTTGGACAAGCAACAGAAATCAGCAGTGTGGCGAGTGCCAGACAAAGTACCACCACTCTGCAAATAGATAAAAATAGTGTCGGGAGTGCCAGACATAGTAGCAACGATAAACAATCAGGTGGCCATTGCCGGGAGCAATACCGCCGCTAAGAAGAAAAAACCCTCGGGTGTGGTCATAAGGCAGAGGTACCAGAAGGCGCTGTTCATGCTTGACAAGATTGAAAAGAATGCAGTGGCCGGTATTGTACATGAGTGCGACGAGGAGGATACGGCTAGATATATGCAAATAGTGGAAGAGTACGAGAAGTTGCAGACCGAACGTACAAACATGGCCATCGCTATGGAGGCCAAGAAGAGAAACCGCTCTCAGAATGAGGGACCCCCCGGTACTAAAAAGGTAAAACGGGGAGATGCGGAGCCCGCAGCACCCTCAAAACACCAATATTTCAGCGACGTCGCGAGAGATCACTTGCAGGCGGCTGTCATAGATGAAAACAGCACGACACTGCTGGCAGTGCAGCAAAAGTGGGTAGAGATTGATGTGAGGTTATCGAGCCTCGTTGCGGATTACGTACTCGACACCCCGAAGGTCCCCACCCAGAGTTCGACTCATCGGAATCCCTACGGGGGTACCGGGTTGTCAAATGCGCGGACTAGTTCTCCTACGATTTCCTAGCTGGATGCGTTGATAAGATCAGCGACGCGTTCATCGGCTTGAAGCTCAAGCTGATCCCAGCAAAGAACACCCCTAGGAGACCCCGTGCGCGCATTTGTCTGCATAATAAGGACATACCGGCGATAAACGAATGGGAGCTTATCAAGGTGGAAGAGCCCAGGAGGCCCTCGAGTATGCCCATTCTTTTGGCTATCTGCGCCGAATCCCTGGACGCCCTAGCAAAGGCAGACTAAAGGCTTCGGTTTGGCATAAGGAATGCGAAAATTAGGGTTTTCCTAGGAGAGGTTAGCCCCGTAGACGAAGACCAGGATATCGAGGGAGCAGGTAAGCTTCTGATGGGAGTGAAGCTGACAGATGACCCCGATTCCCAAGCTTAAAATAGCACAAATAAATCTGCAGCATTCCAAGTGTGCTACAGATAATTTAGCCGTTCTTCTCAGCGAGGAGGATATTGAGATTAGTCTAATCCAGGAGCGCTGGGTGGGTAATGAGACTATAATGGGGCTCAACACAGTCGGCTATAACCTATACTACAAGAACGAGGTGGGTAAACCGCGGGCGTGTATTCTTATCAAGAAAGGTATTAATGCATTCCTTTGCTCTAATTATAGCACAGCAGACCCAACGTTAGATAAGGTGGAAACTCCAGGCCAGCCCAGCATTCTCTTGGTATCGTCCTACATGGCCCACGATAGGGACAGTCCACCGCCAGAACTCAGCGATATCCTAGCGCGAAACCATAGACAAATTATTTTGATGGGCTGCGATGCGAATGCCAGGCATCCAGTTTGGGGCAGCACCACGGAGAACGAACGAGGTGAGTCCTACCTACACTTTATATTAAACATCAGCCTAAGTATTTGCAATAAGGGCAATATTCCTACCTTTATTTTTCCGAGTACGGACCGGTTCTCTGGATGGGAGGAAGTGTTGGACGTAACGTTGTTGTCCGGAAACGACATCGTTTCCGTAGAGAACTGGAGAGTATCAGACAGGCCGTCGATGTCTGACCACTGTATGATCCTCTTTGACCTTTGCGGTATATCCAATACTTCCTCGGCATACAGGAACCCACGAAGAACCAATTGGGATAGCTATAATAGGATATTAAGTAATCACCTATGTGAAAGTAATCCAGATAAAAAGATTACATCAGTCGAGGATCTGGACAATAGAATAGATGATTTAGAGGTAGCTATGAGAAAAGCCTTTGACAGGCCAACCCCAATACATATAGCGCGTAAGAAATCGCCGCCGTGATGGAATGGGGAACTCAAAGCCCTGAGAGACAACATTAGAAAACTCTTTAATGAAAGCTTTAAGACAAAAAACTGGGCGCCTTACAGCGGTGCACTAAAGTCATACAAAGAGGAACTAAGGAAAGCTAAGGCAAAATCCTGGAAATCCTACTGTTCGGCCATAGAAAGCTCCAAGGACTCAGCTAGGCTCAGCAAAGTCCTGTCCAAAGAACACACCAACTTATCGCTGCTAAACAAAGATAATGGTGTATGGACAAGCTCAGCCAAAGATTCCTTGGTGATATTAGTCAAAACTCACTTCTCGGGCTGCCCTTCAGGTC